CCTTTGCGTTGATCATGGTCGACGGCTTCATGAGCACACCTCGCAAGCCGATCTCGGGTGTCAAGACGTGCACACCACGGCACGTGTCTATGAACCACTCCATCATGGAAGAGATGCTCCACAAGGTAGATAAGGTCGACTCGCGCAAGGACGACGCTGAAGTCGGATGGGGGGGGTTTCAGCTCGACACGTGCGCCAAGCGACAGAAGCTGGATACGAGCTTCGTTCGATCTGCGGCATCGACTACTACCAACGCGACCATCCTGGAGATTCTACCCGAACCGCGAAAGTCGTCCATGCCAACCCATGACCAGTTCTTCGGAAGGGTTGCGCCTATCTTCAACGCAGACCCCCCTGGGTCCGAAGCCTTCTAGGACGGCAAAGACGTAGAGGCGCCTCACATGCCAGTCTCCATGGAGTTCTTGCTCTCCACCACGCAGCAGGTGTACAAAGCCCCATGCAATATCGCCATGGGTATCGGGATCGAGGCGGCACGCCACTTCCTCTTGGGGACCGTGGTGATTCTCGAGAACGATGAAGAGGTGATGATCGCGGTGGTCGACCTGGGCATCACGTTTCAAGATCGTGTCCCGATCTACACGTTCTCGCTCGGACAAGGCCCCGACACAACCGCGGAGGAGTTGGTGGCGCAGCGGGTGGGAGCACGCAAAACGCTTGCGGACTGCGGTGTGGTGGTGTGCCTGCGGGACAAGAGCGTCCTTCAGGAGCTCATCGACACACTTTTGGAGATCAAGAACGACAAGACATCGCGCCTCGGGCACATGATCGAGTTTCGGAAAGAGCGACAAATCGACCATGTCGAATATAAACTCCACCAGTCCATGCTCAAGTATGTCGATTTCCGGAAGCAAGAGATCATCAAAGAGACGCGGCTCACGGCATCCCTGCGGCTCACCCACAAGTACACCCTCAAGAGCGCCAAGTTGGCACCGCTCTCGGACAAAATGCGCCTCGACAACATGACGCGGGCGAATGTGGAGATCCAGAAGCGCCCATTCCACTACTTCACGGTGGATGCCGACAACATGGTGACGTTGAAGGGTACGATCTGGAACTGTAACGACACGTTCCAGTCGACCAAGGAGCGCGCATCGCTCTCGGCGTTCACGTTGCGGACGATGGCGAAAATGCAAGACTTCAACAAAAAGTGGTCCACCGTGGACAACATGACTTCGCCCATCTCTCTCGGGTTCTTCTTGATCACAAGCAGCAGGTTCGAGACAGAAGAGGAGATGGCAAAAGACTCAGCAAAACAAGTAGCGAAGTTGATGGTGCGGGAGGCTGAGAAGAAGAAGCAGGAAGAGGCGGCGGTAGAGGCAGAGCGGCTCGGCTTGGTGACAGTGGAGACGACCCCAGTGGAGACGACCCCGGTGGAGAAGCAGAAGGCGCCTTCCCCAACGCGGGCCGAGAGAGACGTTCGCAAGCTGATGCGCTCGCTCATGGGCTTCGAGATCAACCCTAAGAAGAAGATGGACACGCCCGTGCCGCTGAGCGTGCTCAACCTCTATAGAAACGCCTCGCGTTGCATCTGGAGACCCAACGGCCCTGAGACCTACAACGTCGTGAGCGAGTCACTTGTCACAGACGTCCGTGTCTTTCACCACACTGTAGTGGACATCCCTTAGGTCGTCGTCTAGAGACAAGACCCAAGAGCCAAGACCTAAGAGCCAAGACCTAAGAGCCAAGACCTAAGAGCCAAGACCTAAGAGCCAAGACCTACGCTCACGATGGCTGACGATATTTGTGTTTGTGGTGTTTAGCAAGCGAATGTTAATAAATTCCCACACTGGACCATTTCCAAGTTCAACTTATTTGTATATAAGCCACGTAATTCCATACTTACGACCTAGATTTCAGTAAATCGACGTCCCAATGTTTTTGAAGGCCGGTGACGTCGTACCTGGTACCACCGTCCCGAAGGGTTTGAACAGTTGGGCTGGTGAGGTACAGCCCTGGTGGGGATCGACAGAA